AGAGCAGCTATTCAAGAGAGGCATTGGCTTGGACCACAGGTTTGTTTCCATTATGCAGCTGTCTGTCCCATTTTTGCTACTGAAAAAGCCTTTTAAAGGGGAAGCCCAGAATCTTTCCCTCTGGAGATTTTCCTTTATCTTTTGTCTCCTTGGCTTGCATTTGTGCCTCTGAGGTAGGTTCTCTCTACTCCATCCAGTAGCCAAAGTCCTCTTGGCAGGATCCACAGAGCTCATTATGCCAGAGAAATTGCTAATATTTGTGGAAGATGAGGTTTTTCCCCATATCTTGTCCGAGCTGCTCCCTCCCTCTGTTAAACACACTGCCCATCTTTGAGATAACTTGGTTTGTCCTAATATTCTATTCTGCACAAGTACAACTCCCATCGTGAAAGCATCTGAGGAGCCCCTGAAGTACTTAAAAAAAAAAAAAAAAAAAAAAAAAGGGAAATAGTAATCATTCTCCCCTTCCCAGGCTGTAGGAGTAATAGCTACATCAGCTCACGGGCTGCAGGTAGAAGTGGATGAGAAGAAACGCTGATGGTCAGTTTTCGGAGGCCCCTGTGGGATGATTCAGTTTGCTCTACTACTGCTAACATCTGATGAAAGAACATGAACACTTATGGAACTGGAAGTGCCAAATGTTTGGCAAAGACCATCTTTGGAGAGATCAGGAGCCCAGTGTTTGAAACTGGGATCCAGGACTCATGGTTTTGCTTCCAAATACTGTCTGCCACTGACAAGTGGTGTAACCTTGATCAAATGGCCTTATCTTTCTGCCTGCTCATTTCTTCATCTGTGTAGAAACTGTCCCACTTACACATGCCATAAGTAACTGGTCCATATTTCAGAGTTTCTCAGAAATAGTTGTTTTTTAGTAGCTTCACGTGTGGACAAACCCTTAGGCTTAATTAGTTGTTGCTACCTCTTGTGACTTGTTAGTGAATCTCTCAGTGGCCTTTTTATTTCATTTTGCTATCGCAAAGTCCCAGCTCCTGGAGTCATGTGATTTTTAAGTGAACTCCCATACTTACTTTCTTAAAGTAAAAATTTCAGTTTTCACAGGTGTCTAGAGGAACTTGAAAATATGACTCCGATGGCTCCAGAGCCAAAAGGCAAATGTGGCTTGTTTTCAAGTGCTGTGGGTCTGACTCCAACGTTGTGACTTCTGGGGGCAGAGTTTGTCTCCTGGTCCTTGAACACTAAGGGGTGGTGACGCTATTGATTTAAGTAGACGGTGGTCAAAATTGGCTCAGAATGGACTTTCGGGAAGCTCCAGAATGCTTTTCTGTTTGTCTTGGGTTTAGCTTTAACATATTTCACGGGAAACTCTTAAACATGGCACAGACTTTACCCTGGAGATTTCGCAGCCCCCGCTCAAACTTATTGCTACTGCATGAGGAGCAGAGATGAGGTCCAAACTGGCCTTCAGAACAAACCTTCTCCAGAGCTGGAAGGTGTCTAGATTTGGCCATTTTTATTTATTTATTTATTTATTTATTTATTTATTTATTTTTTAGTTTGGATCCATCACTTCTTTAAACACAGCCCATGACTTAAGGAGCCCTATCCCCCTCATATCTAGCAGCATCCTGTCTGAATTGCTCTGACAAGGCAACCTGCTATTACTTCCTATTCAGAGAGGGAATGCTAGGAGCTATCCAGTCCTCCTCTGTCTACCAGCTATTCCTCTTCTTGGTAATCTGGATGTGATTCTTTCCTGCTTAGGCAGACTTCTACTTTGTTGCTGTCTAGAGCAGGACATCTCAATCCCCGAGCCATGGCCTGGTGCCGGGCTGTGGCAGGTCGGCTGCCTGTCTCCAACACAGTCGGCTGCCGGACCAGAAGTGGCCGCAGACCAGCAAACTGCAGTCCCCCAGAGCTGGGCAGAGGGGCTGCGGTTTCTTTCACAGGGCCCGTGGCAGCGCAGGGTTTTGGCCCACCCTCCTGCCTGGCAGTGGAAGTATCCTTACCCATCTGCCAACCAGAAATTCTAGCCATGGCCAGCTGTGACTGCTGGGCTGCAGTTTGCTGGGCCGTGGCCACTCCCAGGCCGCGGTTTACCAGGCCATGGCATAAAAACTTTGGGAACCCCTAGTCTAGAACCTTTCCCAGTGATGTATTCATCTTTGCTCTTATCACGTGGCTGCTTGCCCCCTTGCCAACTGGACCATTATCAGTGAGGGCTGCTGAGGTCACGGTTCAGTTGTCAGTTCCTCCACCTTGCAGCTCTGCTCCTGTAACTCAGCAGAGACTACTCTTTCTACCTTGCTTGGGAACCATGTAAAGAGGCATCTTGACCCAGAGCATGGTCAGCCATGGTGGATTTGATTTAAATCAAATAGCTTTAAATCCTGTTTTAAAGCACAATTTAAATCACTGGTCAGGAAGCCTCAATTTAATCATTGTTTTCTACAAAAAGTTCATTCTTGTTGCTTGATATTCTTTACTTGTTAACTTCTTGAAATTGCACTTTTAGAGAGAGGTAAGGGCTTGACTGTGTACACAAACATGCAGAGACGCAATAGGGCTGATGGGTAGGTAATTGGGTTTTGTTCTCTCACCTCCATATACTGCTGTTAACAAGGATGTTATCTCTGGAGACAATACTCTCTCCCTATGCCTGAAGAAGGGCATTTGTGTCCAAAAGCTTGCAAAGAACAATTTTTCCAACTACTTGGCTAGTCTAATAAGATACCACATCTACCCAAAGAACCTTGTCTGCCTGCTTATGATCTCTGGAGAGACGAATCCACGGTTTGAGAACTGAATCTAAGCATCACAGAGATGCTTAATGGGATCTTCTAGATTAGGGTTTTTCGATCTATGGGTTGCAAGAAGATTTCGGAGGGTCACGAATCATTGGTGTTTCTCAACCTGTCCCAGGAAAGTGGTGAGACTGCAGCAGGGCAGAGTGGTAGAGTGAAGGAGGCAGGGGACAGCTGCAACGCCAGGCCAGGTGCTCACAGGGGTTGGGGCAGGGCCAGGAGATGCTGCTGGGAGTGTGGAAGGGGCCTTGACCAGGTTGCCTGGTGCGGTGCAGCAGACCCAGTCCAGGGTGGGGGCTGCCACAGGCCTCCCCTCCTCCCTCCAGCTGAGGCTGGACTCACGCCACTGCTGCCTGCATGAGCCAGAACCACTATAGGCACTGTGCTCCGGCCTGAACGGGACAGGGGCAGCTGAGGGCCCCTCTGGCAGTGCTGGGGGACGGGGGCTGCAGGTTTGGAGTAAGGGGCAATGCCAAGGCTGGGTGGGGCAGGGGCTGTGGGTCAGGAGTGAGGGGCATGGTGGGGGGGAGGCAGGGGCTGTGGGTCAGGAATGAGGGGCACCAGCATGGGTTGGGGGGGCAGGGACTGAGTTGGGCACCAGCAGGGCAAGGGGGTGTGGGTCAGGACAGGCCATGAACTTTTGCAAATGGGTCCCTGTAGGAAAAAGGTTGAGAACCACTGTCCCCATTAGACTTAGCACTGAGTCCCATTGGGTAGAGTGCTTTTTTTAATCTTACTAATCTCTAAAGGAGCCTCTGGGAACCCTGTAAGACTGGGCCTCTACGATAGTCCATGGCCTGTTGTGATCTATTTAGAAAACTTCTAAAAGGGTTACATGAATATATTGTCTCAAATAGTATATAATTAGAAGTAATAATCCCTATTCCATGATATGTTCAAGCTTGAACATATCTTAAATTAAAACTCTCTGTATATGTGGGTTTTTTTTTGGTTTTTTTTTTTTTAAAGCATCTTAACAAAAAATTACAAAACAAAATTAAATACAACTGCATAAAAAAAAAAAAAAATTTTTTTTTTTAAATCCGATTTTAATTTTTATCCACTTTGGGTTCAGCTGATCTTGGAGACCTCACCACAATGTTGTGCATTTCCTGGAACAGTCCAGTGAAGAGTAGCCTGTAACTGAAGGGAAACGGCTGTTTTATTTTTCTGCCTCTCCTATTGGCGTGCTTGTCAGCACAACTCTTCTCAGTTAAGGTTCCTTCTCTTTC